TCTATGCGATCAATTTTTGCAATGATCAAAATCTGATCTCTCAAAGTTTTGTCCATTTTGAAAACAAAAAGTACAACTATGGAATAAGTGCTCTTATGTAGATTGTAGAGCTTTTCAGACTGCATCTGACGATGTGTTTCGATCATCGATGCAATGTATTAAGGGATGGAAAATTAACCTGTCTTACCCGTTATAAGCCAGTATAACGATCACGAATGATAACGAAACGAATCTTACTAGAAATTTATTACCATTATATTATGTGAAGTATGATCAAATAGCATAGAAAGAAAGAGCATTTTTTTCTCTATCATCCTGTGTAAAAAGAAACTTTTATCAAGTTTACTAAGTGGTACTAAAATGTCGTTGCCACTACTTTTGGATACCCCTAAGTATTTTATCAACGTCATCAAAGGACACCGCCGTTTCAGAAAAAGTTGTCCAAATTCAATGAAATTTGAAATGCTAGTAGAAATAAGTGAGATACATTTAGCACAAAATTTTCATCTGGATAAATCTTATGGAAGAAAGCTATAGTGAAAATATGTCTGTACGAAATTGACACAAAAATAGAAAATATATTGTTTCGTATGATTTTTCAATACGGTTACTGTCTTTTTATATTTCATAGTATGAAAGAAAAAGGATGTTACATATAGTTAGATAGAGCACGGAATATTTTACATTATTATTCTTGTTAGAATATTATCTGGTATTCGTTGACATATTTTAGAAATACGAGCAAAGTAAAGGTCTATATCTTTTTCCAAAATTTTGACTTTTCACAAATACTGAATTTCAGTAATGCGATCATATCTACATAATGAAACGTTATCGCAAGATCAAACTTACGCACAAACTACGTCTTAATCTCAATACACAGACCAATATATTCAACTAGTCTAACAATGAATACGAACTTGAGATTCTTACAAAATACTTTATCCTTCGTTTTTCTTAATAATCACTATATTTGCACTAGTCATTTCAGTCGATTAAAACCTAATTAAAGAACAATCATTCGATGTCCAAAATTACACTCGAAAGACCTAACATCTTTTGAATTTATATGAATAAATTATTCGTTTGGTTTTCTTTGTACTTTATCAAGTTCCGATGTGGGTGTGAACGTAGCGCTTCTCATCGTCCATACACACACACCAACATCTTAATAATAAAAAAGAAAATAATGAATGAATTAGAATTAGTTTGACAATTTTCTCTATTAAACTTTTAAATTGAATATCAAGTTGAATATAATTAAATTGAAAGATTGTTGATGTTCGTTATTTGAATGAATATTTAAATATTATTATCTTATGAAAGGAATATATCGATTTCGATACGATTTTTCTTTAGTTGTTTTTTTTTCCTCAATTCAGTTTGTGCTTCATTTGAATTGATAAGATAAACGAAACGATGAAAATAGTGTATTATATTCGCATCTTTTTTTCTTCTCAATTTATTTCCACATGCAAAGTTAAATTCTATGTTATTTTACTATTGAAAAAAAAGTAAAATTTTCAAAATGAAGTTCGATGATTTTCTAATATTAATAAATGATTGGGGAAGATTTCAAAAAGTAAAATATACAATTATATGTTTAACATATATGCTACCACCAATTATGGTTTATACATATTCATTTACAGCAGCAACACCAAATTTTCGTTGTCGAAATCCATCGCAGTGGTTAAATGATTCATATAGTAAAACATCAAATTCCATATTTAATGAAAAATATCGACCAACAAATGAAGAATGTTTATCAAATAAAAAATCGATCTCATTAAAAGAATGTCAACGATGTTTTATTCGATCAACAACTTTTAATAATCAATCAATGGATGATACATTACAATCATGTCAATCTTATGTTTTTGATCGACAATATTATAAAGACACATTAATTGAAGAGGTTCATTAAATAATTTAAATATTATTTTGTAAAATGTGATTTAAAATGAATGTTGAAATTCAGGAGTAGAAATTTAGAATGTTGCAGTATCGCTATGAAAACATCACAAGCTGTAATGGACATTGTTGATATACCATAAAAGATTGTATATCAATAATGTCTCGTTATTATATACGAAGTACTTGTTTATTACATTTTTGAAGAAGGATGGTAAAAAAAATAAATCCCAAAATAGATAGAATAAACAATATCTCTGTGATTAGAAGCAGCAGCTATCTTTTGTTTCATATTTTAAACCCACAAGAATTGTAAAAACAGATTTTTCTTTATTATTATTTTAATTTAGTGGAGAATGATTTGTAATCGTGTAAGTTATCGATCATGGGCTCAAATGATATTCTTTGTTGGTTATATGGTTGGCTCAATTCTATTTGGAATTCTTGCAGACAAGTTTATTATTTTTAATATAAATAAAATCTAATGAAATAAATTTAATTTAGATATGGTCGTCGACCAATAATGAGTATTAGTTTTATTTTAATGACATTCTCTAGTTTATTATGTACATTTGCTCCACAGCAATCTTTTGGATTTGGACCATCATATATTATATTTGTTTTAGCAAGATTTTTACTTGCTTGTTCTACAAGAGGAATATCTGTATCTGGATTTGTACTTGCTTCTGAAATAGGTATTTAACACCATCAATGTTTATGCCCTAAACTAGTCGCCATAGAATTAGAAAAATGTTAGATTTTAAAAATTATGTGAATCAAATACTTAGTTCAAATACCGAAGCGACTATCCTCCCATATTAATGTCTCAATCTCAAAGAGTCCTTGGAGACTCTCATAGAAATACTATCAGTAACCATTGACATAAATATCACTGATTGATTATTTTTACTTTGTTTGTGAATGACTTGATCATATTGTAGTAGTTCTCGCGAGGGAAGTCCTCCCCCTCCCCAATTGATTGATCACTTCTGAGCCGAAACAAATAATTTTCGAATTTTGACTTGACAGTTTAAGCGGAAATACGACTTAAACAAATTAGTTTCTCATGAAAGTTTCAAATCTTTTGATTTACTTCTATTCTGGAATAAGAACATCGAATCTACCAGTGTATATAAACCATGTAAAAGTCAAGCTTTTACCGTAGCCATATCTCAAAATAAATAACGACAAAAAGATTTGAATCTCTCACAATAAACTATTCTTTATAAAGCTTATCTCTATGCAAAATCTCAAATCGAAATTCAAAAATAAGTTTTTCCGATATTTCTGGAAGGGAATCACGGCTTTGATTTAGAAAAACTACTGTAAAAATGCATAGAGTATGCATGATGTGCATTGTTCCGACTCAGAACCAATTAATCAGTTAAAGAACTTCTCTTGTCAATCAAACCTTGTAGTTTTGACGAAAAATATTTTCTAATGTCTAAAGCTACGACTAATATTAGCTGCCGCAAGGCAGGTGTACTCTTCTTCAGATAGTCGCCAAAGAGAATTCATCATGACTTTCACGTACATGAAAAATACTCAAAGTTTGACAAGGAACTTTCGTTGACATAAACCTTTTGGAAACTTTTCATAACTCACCAAGACCTATTTATGGACAAAATACCAGCTCAAAAGGATGTGGATACTTAGAGATGCTCTCTCATCAGTATAGAGTCGAATAAGGTTAGTATCACTACTTTTGATATATTCTAAGTGATTTGGAAAAAGAATTCGTTTTTTTTCTGTATTCTAAGTTGGACCAAAGAAACGACTCTTAACTGGAATTGTCATTGAATATTTTTTTGCATTTGGTCAAATGATTTTATTAATATTTGCTTATTTTATTCGTTCATGGCGTATATTAACATTTTCAATAGCATTATTTACTGTTCCATATATGCTTTTTTATTTGTGAGTAGTTTTATTTTTGATTAAAATAAATATTTAAATAATTTGTTCTTAAGTATATTACCGGAAAGTCCTCGATGGTTAATTAGTAAAGGTCGATTTGATGAAGGAGAAAAAATCTTAAGAAATATAGCAAAAATAAATAATTGTGTTTTCAATAGTGATGCTTATAAAAAATTAAAAGACGAACAAATTAAAGTAAGATTTAATTTATTTAATAAGAATTTAATTTTATATTTTATTAGAATATGTCTGAAAAAAATAATCAACAAGGTATTAGAAGTTTATTTCAATCAAAAATAATGACTATTATTAGTATTAATCTTTTTTTTCAATGGTATTTTATTTATTTTAAATTTAATAAATAATTAAAATGATTTATTTTTTTGTTAAGGCTTGTACAAAATCTTATCTTTTATGGTGTCTCACAAAGTACAGGTATAAAACATTTTATAAAGCAATGTTCTAATTAACCTAAATAACAAAAAACAAAGAGATTCTTCTTTCATAGTAAAAATAAAGAAGAAATTGCCGAAAAATTGATTCGTAATGCTCTTCAAAAATCCAATAAATAATAATTTATTCCAATCGATTTTTAATAAATAAAAATATTGAATACTGTTTAAATATATAATGCATTCAGTTACATCAATCAATTTAGTGTCTTGCACGGATACGAGTTTTTGCAACCGAGCCCGAACCGATCCGGCAAATTTACTCTCGAATCTATGTTCCTGATCGGACTGGATGCCGAGTACTCTACCCGGTTGCAGTACACTAAATCAATATTCTTGATCTTATTCTTTCCAGATTTTTATTTTTCTTAACCATCAACCAAATATTACTTTTATATAAACTGCAGTATAGAGTTCTTGTCTGAGAAAAAAAAACGCATGTTTTGACTGAGTCTTGGCTGAGGAAGTAATAATTGTCTCACCAGGCAAGATTCTTGTGTTTTGGAATTCTTAACTAATAATTAACAGATATTTTTTTATGCATACATACATACATAGAGATTACGCGGCATTTGTCTTCAGATTCTATCTTGAACTTCAGAGTAGAGTCTTGTTTAAATTTCAAGATTAAAAAGTATCGTTACTGATCAATGAAGAAAAACAAGAAGCTAGAAAGAAAGTCGATTAGAAGTGTTCCGAAGTCGTTAGGATTGGGAGAGAGTGTTGTTTTTTGGGGGAAATGGGAAACCAAAAAAACATTGAAATTCAGAAACTCAACTGAAGAAAAACGAAATTTTTGAAGAATCTTGAGTCACCTGTTCGGGATACTTTTAACATCTATAAAAATAGGATCATGGCAATTAAATCCATATTTATCATTTGGTGTGAGTGCATTTGTTGAATTACTCTCATATATTTTTGTTCATTCAATTCTTGATCGTATTGGTCGAAAAATTCCTTATGTTGGTTTTCTTATTATTTTTTGTGTTGTTTCAATCTTAATACTTCCTGTTGAATATTTAATGGAAAACGATGGAAAAGGTTTGTTATTATGAATGATTTTTCTTGTTGAAAAAAATTGAATTTAGGTCAACGATTATTATTGAATATAATAAATGGTACATTAAAATTTTTATCATCAGGTTCTTATGCAATTATTTATATTTACGCAAATGAATTATTTCCAACAAATGTACGAAATACTGGTATGGGTATTTGTTCAATGGTTGCACGTATAGGCGCTATTATTGGAACTTATTCTAATGATAATTTAGTATGAAAAAAAAACAAAAAAAATATATATTTTTTAATTTGATAATTTTTCTGTAATAAATATTTTATTTAAGACACGTTTATGGATTCATCTTCCAATACTATTTTATGGTAGTGTATCACTTATTGCTGCTCTACTTGCTTTAATGTTTCCTGAAACATTAAATCAACCATTACCTCAATCAATAGACGATGTTGAAAAAATGAATTTAATGAAGTAGATTATATTAATTCATATTGAATAAGATTTCAAATGTTTTTCTTTTGCATTTAGTATTCGAATTTATCGATCGAAGCGATTAATTAATGATAAAATTCAACTTAATGAACAACCAGGGAAAAGATTTGCTAACTATATCAACCCACAATTCGACAATAATGAAAGTCAATATAAAGAAGAACAAGTCACAAGATTTTGATCATTATACTGTTCATAGTTTAAACAGAAAAAAAAAACAATTTCGTTTTCTTTTTTTTAACTAATTGTATTTATTTTTCAAAGAACATAATAAATTCATTTTTAAATATAATATGATCCACTGTTTTTTGAATAAATTCCGATAAGAATATCATAGAAAACTGCAGTTTTAACCATTGAAGAGAAAAGATATAAGGGAGTGAGTTATTAGTAGAAATTTTGAAAATGATATTCTGAAGCTATTTTCCTTTTGATTTAGACTTATAATGTTAAGACTTTTTTTGAGACCTTCAGTTTTAGCCAATTGGTCTGTAATCAGGACTCTGTTCACTCAGTACTTCTGAACAATGTAGATAACTGAGTCAGATCAGTTTGAAACTAAAAACAAATAGTACCATTCGACATAGCAACGGTAAATTATGCTTCTCTAGCTACTTCTCCAGATAATCATTGATCAACTGACTGAAACTGGAGGTCTCAGGAAAAGTCACATAACTCTCGAATGAAACAAGTTAAGAATATAGACTTTATGTAGATTGAAAGAGAAAAACCGCAGGTCTCTATAATGTTGTTATCAAAAGTTATTTAGAAAAAAATACAGCGCATTGGATTTTAAAATCGTTAGTAGAAATATTTCTGATTAAATAATAACTTTAATAAGAATATTAACATGGCGAATTCATTATCGAACGAATGTCAATTGGAAATATTTCTCTCAAATTTTTATTTAACATTATTTACATTTCTTTGAAAAGCTAAATAATTAATGAATTATTTGATTCGATAATGTTTTTTCACATAATATATGATTTCAAATATAGATTTTCAAGCATTTATTAAATAATTTATTTAAAATTCATCTTTCAAAACGAAACTGCTATTAAGAATTCGATTCGTTAATAAATATATCATTATATATTACATTTTACTAAAATATATCACAACTACATTAAAGTAAAATGTCTAGGATATAATATCAATTATAAAAAAAAAAATGAAATAAAACTGATGAGTCTTGATGTAAAAATCAGCCATTAGAATGATCAGTATCAATGAGTTTCATTCGTCTAAATAAACAGATAAGTATGGTATTAATATTAAATAACACACAAGCTGTGAACTTTTTGAAAAATATTTTTAACGTTTGGTCATATTCGCACTAATATCTATCGTGAGTCATTAAATCAGACGTACATAAATCTTTATCTTATTCTTTTTAAGGCTGTGTTTGAACGCTACTCCTTCATTATAATATCATCTCAATACACATAATCTATTCTTCTTAAGATTTATCAATTAAATATAAAAGAAGATTTCTACTACAAATGATAAATATTTGTCATAATCATTTTTTCAATAAAACTATACGTACCCTTTGATTTTTTCGATATCACAGTGGATGGATCAGAAATATTGACAGTTTTTGATGAAGCTTTTTGAGTAAATGTTACCCAAGAATAAAGAATACTACCGGATGCACTAGAAAAATGTAAATCAATCGATTAATTTAATATTTAAATGAAGAACTATCCAGCCAGGCAAAAATTTTGAAAAACGCGTTTAAACGCGCAATCGGGAATAGAGGTGTAAGCCGCCGGTCTAAGCCGCCGGTCTAAGCCGCCGCCGCCGCCGCCGATTTTTTTGAAAAGTAAGCCACCGCCGCCACAGAATCGTAGATAATTTTAAGAATTTTTTNTATCATTTCTATTCTGAGTTAATTATCAGTATAGAAATAAATTTCTGAAGCAGTAATTGTATATCATCATACTACTTCATAGTCTCTATTATCTTGATCTTTTGGAATATATAATGAAAAATAGAAATAAAAAAGAGTCAATTTTTTAAGGGTTCATTCAAATGAAAATGAGAGAGGAATGATGGTCTATTTTATTGTGATCAACAAGAACAAACTGAAGTAGTAGAATTATCAATATCCTTCGTATGACTGCTCACTACACTATTATATCGTTTCAGTTGTATGTCTACTTGATACAGAATACGGATTTATGTACAGGATTGGAAGTGAAGAAGAAGAGTGAACAAATGATAGAGTCAGCAGGCAGCTATTATTGTTAATGATGTCAGTGCGTCTAGCCGAATGATAATCAAACGTGTTGACATCATTGAATAGATAAAAGATAAAGAGATGATGTTCTCGAATTATTCGCACATTCATCGAACAGAGGGGTCTGAGTGATATTCACATTGTTCTTAAATAAATCAATTCGAGACAATAGATAGATATATGAGATAAAAGGAAATTTCTAGCATTATCACAATATATGATTGCGTTAAAAAAAAAAGTTTCCACAATGATGAAAAACTTTAAAAAACTTATTTTCATGACAACGACACAATCAAGGGTGTGGAATCTGTTGATGAATATGCATTCAGTGTATTTCACTTACTAGAAACATAATTATTCTTTATCGAGAAATCCGTAGAGTAAACTTAAATATATTTTCATCGAATTTTAACTTCAATCGATATACATCGTTTTTTTTCATAAAAATCTTTGTTTGTTCTCAAACAGAATTTATGAGATGCTCGAGATAGTCGAATTTGATCTCAATTCTCATAACCATTAAGTCATAAACATACCAATTCATTAAAGATTGATGTTATCTTGTTTCTATACTTTTATTTTAGATAAAGATTATTTGAGGTATTCTCATAACAAATTACATTTATTCTAGTGATTTTATTCTAAGACAAATGGCAACGGAAAACGAATTACAATTATGTTCAACCTGCAATAAATCTTTAGCAACACGCTTTTGCATTGGATGTAAAAAATATTTTTGTTCAAAGAATTTCAAAGAACAGGGTGTGGATGTGGGTGTAATCCTTTGTTCTACCACCTGAACTCACATTCACACCCACAATCACACCCACACCCACACCCACATACCCACACCCACACCCACACCCCACCCACACCCACACCCATTCCCCCTTGCCAATGCATTGCAGTAACACGTGCCCTAATACTACAGTAAAGAAGCAACGATTCTTTGAGCATCTAACCCTCTTCCTTCTTGAAATACCATGCAGTTAGACATCAAGGAATACTCATTTCAAGGCAATCTATCATTTTTACTACAGATGATGAAGATATCTTACTAAATATTAAGATGTGATCAATTCTCTTATGAGACGATAACTAGTACATTACTAATGATGTGAAATTCGTGGAGATAGTCATCAATGAATGAATCGGCCAAACAATACAAAACGTGTTCTCGTAGATCTTAAAAATATTCCAGTGTTTGGGTCATATTCGATTTAGATTCAGAGTTGTTGTTAATGAATTTACTCGTTGATTTGTTTCAGTTTATATTTCGATGCTTCGATAGACAAATTGGTCATTCTGTCTTTTAGTTACGAATCGAATCATAGAGCATAATGGAGTTGTTGCAAGAATAGATTATAATCCTCTTTCATGTCAGTCACGTCGAATGAAAGAAACAAAACATTTCTACTGACAACTCTTTAATTAGTAAAAGTGTTCGGCTAGCAAAGTACATCTACTTCAAATCTATTTCGATAGAATTCACATTTATTAACCGATAGTATTTTAACTTAACTATGCTCATATGGCTGACGGTTTGGGTGTGCTATGGTTGATTTTTTCGTCTGTACCCACACACACGCCCACATTATATAGCCAGTACATCTCTAAAGTACATATTTACTGTTTTGATGAACACAACAAAGCGGTGTTATAGATGGTTGCACTTTCATAAATCGTTTTTGAACTTCTAGAATACGACAGGTATTTTGAGTGTAGGCACTGGTTGAGAGTATAATTTTTTTTTTACCAAGCAGTTCTTTTACATCTAATCAATCTTGTTTATCATACTTTTATGTTCTATTTAGATGAAGAGAACACCATGTGTCATTATTGTCATGTCTTAGGTCACAATCCATCCGCATTCTCTCATCATATATACAAATCTGGGTGTGGTTGCTGGTGAGTGGCTGTTTGTGGATACAATAAATAACAACAGGCACACTCACATCCTCAAGTTGAATACAATTATATTAATTGAATTGAGACATTTTTTATGTTCGCTATTTGAATAAATATTTAACTTTTATTATCTTATGAAAAGAATACATCAATTTTCATAAGATTTTTCTGTAGTTGCCCTTTTTCTCGTTAGTCTATCTTATAATTCATGTGAAGTGATAAGATAAATCAAAGGTTGAAAATAATGTATCACATTTCAATCTTTTTTTTCTTCTCAATTCATTTTCATATGCAAAGTTAATTTCTATATTATAATAATATCACAAAAAAAACAAATATTTCAAAATGAAGTTCGATGATTTTCTAACATTAATAAATGATTGGGGAAGATATCAAAAAGTAAAATATACAGCTATATGTTTAACATGTATGTTACCATCAATTATGGTATATACATATTCATTTACAGCAGCAACACCAAATTTTCGTTGTCGAAATCCATCGCAATGGTTAAATGATTCTTATAGTGAAACATCAAATTCCATATTCAATGAAGAATATCGACCAACAAAAGAACAATGTTTGTCAAATAAAAAATCGATATCATTAAAAGAATGTCAACGATGTTTTATCCGATCAACGTCTTTTAATAATCAATCAATGGATGATATTTTGAAATCATGTCAATCTTATGTTTTTGATCGACAATATTATAAAGACACATTAATTGAAGAGGTTCAATGAATAATTAAAATAATATTTTGTGAAATACGATCTAAGAGGAATGTTGAAGTATAGAAATATAAACTTAGACTCCTCTCCTCTCCATCACAGGCTGTGATAGACATTGTTGATATACCATGAAAGACTGTATATCACTAATGTCTCCTTGTCATATATATGAAGTACTTCTTTAGTGCATTTTCGAAGCCGCATAGTGAAGAAATATATCCAGAAATATATAGAATAAAAGAATATCCCTATGATTAGAAACAGCAGCTACATCGTATTTAACATTTTATTCCCGC